ATCCCACCGCTCGGGGCTCACGCTGGAGAGCACGATCGTTTCTGTATGGAGACAGGCTTCCTGCGGCTTCCGGGGACATGATGTGGAGGCCTCTGGAGGACATCCGGGGCGGAGGCATGATGGAAAGGGGGAGAAAGGAAGTGGAGGGAGGGGTGGGCAGGGTGAGCGGGGGGGGGGACAGGGGGTGAGGGTTTGGGGGGGGGCAGTTAACTACGAGGGAGGAGGAGGCGGCGGTGGTTTCTGCGCCCTGGTTCTGTCAGCTTGCATCGGCCTTCGTGGGGCGGGCTCTCCAACAGGGGCGCGGGAGTGCCCCGAGGAGGGGCAAGGGAGGGGAGAGGTGAGGCAGAGGAGGGAGGCCGAGGGGAGCGGAGGCAGAGGAGGAAAGGATGGCAGGATGGCAGGGAGGCGGCCAGGAGCGGCCGCGGAGTGGCCGGGGCGGGGCGCCGGTCGCACGGAGCGCCCTGGCGGACCCCCGCCGCGCCCTGGCCTCACGGGCGGGCCAGGCGCGCGCTCCTCGCCTCCCTGCCGCCCTCGCCCCCGCCCTCGCGCCCCAAGGGTGCGGGCACCCTCCTGCCCCTCCCCGCCCCTCCCCTCTCTCCCTCCCCCGTTCTCCTCCCCCCGTCCCTCCTCCCTGGCCTTGCCCCCTTGCCACCGCGGGTTTCGGCCCCTACCGTTCCGACGGCGACCGAGAGATCGCACGAGCCAACCGCGGCGCGTCCCGCCCACGCGCGCCGCTGCTTGCCCGCCGCCTCCGCCCCCCACCAGGGCACGCCAGCCCGCGAGCTCATGGTCTCGTCCTCCCGGTCCTCCCCAGGCTCGTCCTCCGACCTCTTCTCGTGCTTCTGCCCCGAGCTGCGGGCCTCACCCCTCGACGGAGTGAAGCCCTCGATGACCCTCATTCCGGCCTGCGCCACGGGGTGTGGCGTCAGAAGGGCCAGGAGGCAAGGGAAGAAGGAGGAGGACTGAACGGCTTGGGGATTTGGGAGGCATGGACAGTGGGCGGTAGGTCAGTGTGGCGCTGGCTCGGCGGCGACGCCAGCAAAGGCTCTCAAGTCTGAATCCTGCGACGCGGAAGCACCGATGGACATGGTTGCGCCACGGGACCCGACCGAATTCAACCTTACACGATCGGGGCCGCGATTGGTTCAGGGTTCAACGATCGACGCGGTGTCAAAGGTCTTTCAAGCAGTGGCGAAGCGTCCTGGCTCGCCTACAGGCCCACCTAATAATGTTCTAAGAACCGTATGCGGTTTGCACGAAATGTTCTTAGAACATTTCTGGCTGAGACTGTCTTATTTCAGCCCATCGGGTTTATAGTCTAAGAATATGGAGCTTGTTCTTAGAACAGTGTTGGGGCTTCTGAGAACATGTCGTGGTAGGCCTATAGGAGTGCCAGGGCGGTCGGTCCCTGCTCAAACCTTTGGGCGCGCCGCCGCCGCCGCACGAACTTGCCGTGAGGGGTGGGGGGGGGGCGCGCGCCCGAGGAGCCCAGCTGCGTCGTGCTTTTGCAACGTGCGTTCGCGGGCGATTCCTCCCCCCCCCCCCGACTCTGGAAGAAGAGAAACGCCATAAACATAAACGTTTGGCGCTCCGCGCGGATCTCTTGAATCCGCGGCGCTTCCAGCGCAGATCCAAGAATCCCGCGCGGAGCACCAACAGTTTGTGTTTATGCTGTTTGTTTCTTCCTTTAGATTCTTCCACGGCGAATCAAGCCGTGTAGAAAAGGAGGGCAATTGGGGGATCCACCCCACATGCTACGGAGAAAGCCTCCTCAGAGGGCGGCGGGGCTTCTCCGGAGCCCTCGCGCCTCTGAGAAGTGTTAATTCTGTGTTTTCGGGGAAGGCTTAGAAAACTTCTCAGAAGGCCGGGGGACTTCCGAGCCTTCTGAGAAGGCCCGCCCCTTCTCACTCTCCCCCCGGGCTTGCCCCGCCGATAATCGGACGCGCCCTGATTATCGAGGAGGGGCGCCCCCCGGGTCCATGTCCCCGAGTCGGGCTCCAGCCGTCTGGCTCAGTCGAAGCCCCACGAAGCCTGGGGTGTGGGGGTCCCCATGTTCTGCTCCTGCTCCTCCATGTTCTTCCCAGCTCCCAACTTCCGACGACCATCACTCGGCATGGGCTCACCATCCAGCTTCCGACATCGGCACTGCAACGTGCATTTTCGTTCGCCGCTACATGCAGCACTGACGGCGATTAGTGGCAAGCGCACACGTGCTGTCGACACATGGCAGATATCCATCGCGTACTCATTCAGGCCGCTATGGGCTATGGGATGCCAGAATGCGGACAACATGAATTGAGGGCTCCGGCCCCACCGCGCAGGCCACGAAGGGCTCCGCCGCCGGCGGTACCGCGCGCTCGCCTCGCCTCGCTCGCCTCCTGCTCCTCCACCTCGCCCTTGCGTCGCACGGCGTCGCCAGAAGGGGCCGCGAGCGGGGAAACCGCCGCGGTGGCTTCTGCTCAAGCGCGCCGTGCGAGAGAGGGAAAGGGGGGGAAGGACCAGGGGAGAAAGGGGTCAGTCTTCGCCCTACGCCCGGCTCTTCGCCAGCGTGACAACGCGGGCCACCTCAGCTCTTATTCGCACCATGCGACGGGCCGACAAGGCAAAGCGGGGCCTGTTCCTTGCCCCCCTCACGCCTCTTCGCTCCCCCTGCACTGGCCGTGCGTCTGCCCGATGCCCGAGGTCGGCATGAACTTCGGCGGGGTCCTCCACGGCAACCACGTCTCCCACACGGTCGATACGGCGCAGGCGGTCGCGAACGCCTTCGGCGTCCCGAAGGCGCCCGGGTGGGCCGCCTCTCGGCAGTTCCTCGCGCATATCTTCTCGTCCTCCTGCCTGGACGACGCCAGCCGTACAACCGGCTTTGAGCCCAGGCCCGTCCTTGGCCCAGGATCGGCAGATGCGCCGCCCTGTGCCGCGGTGCCAACGACGGCCTGCTGCGAGGCGCGGAGTATCGCCCGAGACGGCTGCGGGCCCTCTCGCCCGCGCAGTCTGCTGCCCCGCACGCGCTGGCAGGTGAGGATCTTCCCCAGCCCGAAGCCCACTCTCAGCAGCGAGGTGAAGACCTGGCAGGCAATCCTGCTGGGGGGGGGTCGGGGAGGATAACGAGCGGGGGGGGTTAGCGGAGAAAGCGAGCGGGGGGGGGTAGTAGAGCAACAGGGCGAAAGGGGGAATGAAGAGGCGGGCTGCAGGAGAAGGACGTCTACTGGGGAGGGGGTGGGGATGACATGTGCGTACGATTGCAGTGAACAGCGCGGTTTGCTTCCTCATCGTGCTCCGCCTTTCAAGCGATCTCTCGTGTGGCTAGCTGGGGGTACACTCTGTCGCTAGCCCCTGATCGTGTCCTCATCGTCAAGATGCATGCCCTGTTTCTGTTCCTGTTGCCCCGGTCTGACTTATTTCTGCGGTCGGCGTCCTTCGTTTCTCACATGCAAACTATATGATCGTACCGCAGTGGCAATTTCAGCAGGTGCCTACGTGTCGAATGCATCATCGCTTGCGACTGGCGCGAGTAGATGCAGCTGCGTATCCTTTGCTTTGGAGCACTACCTGAAAGATTTGACGGGGTTGCAGTCGACAAGTTTCTGCGGACGATGATTTAAGACGGGAGCCATGCTGAAAATCAATCGCTGAATGATTGCTTTTAGGAGAGGGAGGGAGAGAGAGAGAGAGAAAGAACACAGAGAGAGAAAGAGAGACAGAGAAAAGACATAGACAGAGACAGAGACAGGGACAGATATTCCGTTGTCCGCACAGTTCTCGACGTCTTACCCGAGACCGACTTTTCGGCGCCAGTGGAATATTTTCGCTGTGAGCCACGCTGCAGGAGATCTCCCAGGCGACCACGGGCGACCGCTTGGGTCTGGGATCGAGCGTGCTCTACAAGAACAACCTGCCACAGTTTGGCATCAAGGATGCCGGACGGATGCATGCGATCTTTGTTATCTTTCCGCCCGCTCAAGCTCGCCCTTGTGCCCGTACTCTTTCTCCTCTTCCTCCCTCCTCCTCCTATCTCCACCTCCAGTTCTTCCTCCCTCAAGTTGTGCGTAATACGTAAATGATCTCAGACGGGATGCGTTCTGTCACTGGCCGCCTGTGCTGTTGGCCCACCACAGTGTGCATCAAAATTCCTCTCCGATGAGCTGGTCCCCATTCTTGCTGCCCTGAACTGTCTGGAGCTTCTCTCTGCAGCCAATGCCCCCCCTCCCCAGCTTCCCGCCGTCGTGACATGTTCGCCACGTGGACCCCCAGAGGTCTGGACCCTCTTCTCACGACGGGCTGTTCATCCCGAGTGAATTCCGGACGGTCTGGGGACCCAGGAAGGGTCTGGGGACCCAGGAAGGCCCCCCAGCGGCCGACAGCTAACGAGTACCATCCAGTGTGTATTGCCCCATCTCCCAAGATAGGGTGTGACGCCGTCGCCTCCTCGCTCCCTCCTTTCCGCCTCATTCCTTTTTGCGTATTCAGATATGCTCATACTTAAGAGTCACTCTGAGCCCCTCTTGGGGCCGTCTTTGGGCGCCTCTTGGGCCGTCTTGGGGCCCTCTCGGGGCCCTCTTGGGGGCCTCTGAGGCCGTCTTGGGGCGATCTTGAGGGCCTCCTGGGCCGTCGTGCAGTGTCGGGGAACCGAAAAGGCGAGAACGCCCAAACCCTTCAACACCGAAGGAGAATCAAAGTTTTGTGCCTCTAGGGGCCCTCTCGGGAGGCCTCTTGAAGGCCTCTCGGGGCGCCTTGGAGCCTTCTCGGGCCGTCTTAGGGCCATGTTGGGCGCGTTGGACCGATCGTTCGGCGACTCGGGGCCCTCTCCGGCCGTCTTGGGAGCCTCATGGGGCCCTCTGGGCCCATCTGGGGCCCTCTTTGGCTCGAGGAAGTCACGCGGTACGAGGCGACACGTCCCCGACGAGAGTCGGCCACGCCCTGGTAGATTTGGTCATTTGGGGACCTTGAGTGCGGATTGAGGCTTAGGGGACTCCTCGAGTGCGGACCTTTGAAGACCTTGAATGCGGATTGACCTTGAGTGCGGATTGACCTCGAGGCTTTGGGGACCTTGAGTGCGGATTGAGGTATTGGGACCTTGAGTGCGGACCTTTGAAGACTCCGCAGGAGTGCGGGTTGAGGCTTAGGGGAATGGGCCCAGGACTTGAGGACACACCCGCTCCGTGCCCATCGGCACGGTGGCGATATGCATAGATGTACGAACTCGTTGGCCTGCCTGGAGGACGAGCCCGTGGAGGAATACCTGACGCCGGAGTTCCTCCACACGATGCGCGCTCAGGTGGCTGGTGCCTGCTTCAAACGGCGGAGATCTGCTCAGACTGTGTCGCCGCGCGGATGTATTGCAATTAGTTGAAGTCGTGCCGGAGTTTGTCCGTATTTTGTTTGTGTCTTGGGGTTCGTGCCATCTTCTGTTCTTCACCTCCATCCCCGCAATCGTATCCCTCCTTCCAGTGATCCCCCGAGTTGAGAGCACGACTAGATTCCGAGTGTTTTACAGGATGTTCACGTTTCAGCTGCGTCTGGTTGGTCGATTGGTTGTGTTCCCATGATTCTCAGAGGGTCAAGCAGCCAACAGGCATGCTTCAGTCGCCCGCTCCCGTTTGGTTCGTTTCCAGGCACTGGGGCCTTTGGAAACCTACTCAGGATGTAAAGCTGACCTTGGGGAAGGTGTCGTCGACTCGAGACAGTCTGGTCTTCTGAGGTTCGTGTGTGCCAGCTGTTCTATTGATGGCCTGCGTTGCGCGAGGAGGCGTCGTCTTGACTGCTGTGTCAGAGCCAGAAGAACTGAAGGGAAATGGGGGAGGATGAGGGTGGCGACGAGGAGATGGGGCCTTGCATAGCTTGGCACCGCAGTTCATGTAATCGATGTGTACTGCAAGCTGTCGGCAAGTGTGCTTTACTTGGAATAAGGGTATTTGGCTCGGGCTGGTCGCTTGTGCTATGACTGCAGTACTCCACTGACACCCAGAGGGCATGGGAGGAGGTGCAACGCACAGCGATACAGTGAACTTGGAGCACCTCGCGTAAACGCAACCAAAACACACGACATCGATTCACCTCAGGAGACAATACAGCAACGCACGGCAAAGCAGAGCAACGCCTATCAACACAGCACAAGCAACGCAGGCCACACCACACGACAGCCCGATAGTGCCGGGTAAGCGATGCTGTCAAACATAACGCACGTGATGTCGAATGTGCATTGCAAAGCAACGCGACGCATACGTAACAGATGCTGCCGCCAGATGTGTTTGTGCTATCGTTGTTTGCACTTACTCCCCAGTCGGCTTCCAGCACAAGCAATATCCACACTTGTTGTTGCGCCTGGACAAGTTTTTTGATCGGCGCATTCACCGAAACAGTATTGTGATTCTGAATCAGCCGCGTGCCGATATCATAGTTCAGGCCCTTCATTCGCGATTCAACATGCATATATGTACCTCTGTATATGTATCCATATACACCCTCCCCTTCCATTCGTGCCGTTGTCCATCCATCCCTCCTTACCTTCTTATATCATGCTCTCCTTATCCCTCCCTCCTGCGATCCGCCTGAGGGAAGCCCGAGGAGGAGAAGGAGGAGGAGGAGGATCAGGAGGAGGAGGAATGAGGAGTAGGAGGGGAAAGTGAAGGAGGAGGTGGGGTGAAAGAAGGAGGAGGGATAAGACAAGGCGGAGGAGGGTATGCAACATGTGATACAATGTTAGTGGAGAGATATCGTTTGTCCTCGAGGCGAGGTCTGATTCTCCCCCAGGTCATGCCCAGGTTCGCCCAGATGTACCCGAGGAGCGCGATCCACGACGAGAGCAAGGGGATGATGGTTGCGTTTCACGTGCGCCGCGGGGATGTCAAGGACCTTCCGGACGGAGGCAACTGGGGCCGCTTCACGCCCAACGAGTGGTACCTTCTGCCGGGAAAATTTGTGACGGCCACTCCTTCCGCGATCTCGACCATTGGCCGCCCGTTCCAGGTGATGGGAGCGCACAGTATTAACGTATTGGCAGAAGAAGATGACTAGCTTGCCTTGGGGATGGCGTCGAAAGCCCCAGCGGATCGCGGCGCGAAAAATGTGACCCCGATTGTCCAGGTACTTGGACCTGATGGCCCGCATCCAGAAGTACGACCCGAAGGACCAGACCCCCCCGACCCCAGCCACCAAGCCATTCAGCTCTGCACAGATGCCGCGTCCCAAACCTCCAGATCGGCTCGTCCGCGCGACGGGTTTGCTCTGAGAGTCGTCGCCTACACCTTGAGTCCGAAGAAAGTCTCCGTCCCTGTCTGCCCCCCTCCCGGCGGGTGGCGCAGCTGAGCTACTTCCGCCTCCGTCAGGGAGAAGGCTTCTCGAAGGCGAGCGAGGGGGGAAGTGAGAGGAAGATGGCTTTCTCGGAAGGTGGCGGGACTTCTCGGAAGCCCTCGCGTTTTCTGAGTAGTTTTGTTGTATCTTCGGGGGGCGGCTTAGAAGACTTCTCAGAAGGCTCGAGGACATCCGAGCCTTCTGACAAAGGCCTTCTCTCAGGCGTCGCGCAGTTGGGGCGCGATCAATGGGGGGGGGCAGCGAGGGCTGCGGAAAAGGGGCCCTCTAGGGCCCCAGAGGGGACCTCCCAGACCCGAACAGAGCACCGTTCTCTCCCCCCCCATTCATCGCTCCTCCTCCTCCTCCTCCTCCTCCTCCTCCTCCTCCTCCTCCTCCTCCTCCTCCTCCTCCTCCTCCTCCTCCTCCCCCCCCTCCTCCTCCCCCTCCTCCCCCTCATCGCCCCCCCATTCGTCGACGCCCACTTCTTCCTCTCACTTCCACCCCCGGGCTCGCGCGCCGAGCTTCCCGTCTTCCCAACTGCTAATGGGACGGGGGGCTCCACAGTGCCAGTTTCAAGTCGGGCCCGTCCCTCTACAGGAGGAATCTTCAAACAGAACCAAAAAATAGTCAGGGGACGACTTGTCTAGTATTTCTGGACTACTTTTGAATAGCTTCTGGATATTTTTGTTCTTCATCCGAAACCCGCTTGTAGGAGGACATGCCCGACCTAATGCCAGTTCGACCCCACCGTCCTCGGCCAGGGAGTGCGCAGGCCAGACTCTGAGCAGCGCCACGGGGTGTAGCAGGAGGAGGAGCATTCTCAGTCCGCTTCTCTTCTCGCACGTGATCCTTCTCCTCTCGGGAGGAAAAAAACAGAAACAACGAATCGTCGATCCGCAGCAGAGTATTTTGGAAAATACATGGATATCAGAGGAGGGAAGACGAACATCTTAGGAACACATGACGCATACAGGGGATGCTGGGATTTGTGCCTATTTCCTTGTGTGTCTCTGGCCCCCTTTACCCTTCTCGTCCATTTTCCCCATTTTCTCCAATGTCAGGTCCGCCTTCAATTCTTATAGAATCACCTGCCTCGAATCCACTGCCGACCTGCTGTCGCGTATTCCTCGTCCATGTCCCCGCCCCCGTCCTCGCCTTCCTCTTCCTTTTCCTTGTTTTCTGTTCCTGCCACTCCCTACATACCATATATAGTCCCTTCCAATTGAACTGTCGCTGATTGAGACAACACGCCGATTGGCCAGTCCGGGTCGTTTGCCCGCCGCCGTTGCTGTTGCTTGCTCGCGCTCGCCCTCGTCATCGTTCTTCCCCCCTCCTCCTTCCTTCCCAGCCTCGTGGGTTTGAGCTCTGACTTGGACCAGCTCCTCAAACGCCTTTACCGTGTCGCCTCACTCGCCGTCCTTACCCTCGTCCTCCCGCTCCCGACCCCATGCACATGCACTCCGCAGTCTGCGTCTCTCCCCTTGTGGCCCTCACCGCCTCTCGCCGCTGCGCCGCCGCGAGGCGGACTTCCACATCTGGAGCTCCCTGCGCGGCGCCAACGACCAGATCGACGCGGCGCCCGCCCGCTACCGGACAGACGCTCCCCAGACCTCTGGCAAGCCTTTGCCTCTGCTCAAGCCCGTGGGGCCCAGACGTCTCGGCCCCCCTCCCGGGGTCTCCTCCTCCTCCTCCTCCTCCTCCTCCTCCTCCTCCTCCTCCTCCCGGATCCTCTTGCGGTGGTCACGGGAAGTGGCCCCACCCCGCGGCCGAAAGTGGGGCAGATCCGCAGGGGAGGATTGATCCAGTCGGGGGAGCACCGCCGCCTCTTTGGAGCTCGGGGATCGGGGATGAGACAGGAGGGATCGAGATCGAGGACGTGTTCGACGTTTCGCTGCGTCGTTGGGCCAGGGGGGCGTCCTGGAAATCGAGGGTCGAGGGTGCGATAGGATCGCCGGGAGGTCTTCGACGCGTCGTTGGCGGCCTCGGGGAGGTCGGGGGGGGGGTCCGCTCCCTGGAGGAGGGGGCGACCCCCGTGTGGTGACGACCCCGCTCGGGAACCACACGGGCGGACCGAGGCATAAGATCAAGGTCGGTTCGGGGAGGGTGCCCTAAGGCTCTTCGTGTATGTTGGATGTTTTCCATGTCTGAGTGCCCTCCCCCTCCTTCCCTCGCGCGGTCGCCCTCGCCTTAGTCTCTCCCTCTTGCACGCCGGCCAGGTAGCCTTTCGGCTACCCCGAGTATCCACACGCTGGAGCGGACTGCCTCGGCATCGCCGCCGACGGACAAAAGTGTGCTCGATGTTCTCGTGCACCCTGGGGCGGGTGCCCTCAGAGGTTCTGTGCGTTTTGGCTGGCGGAGGGCCTCGTGTTCTTGAGGGACGCTCTTCTGTCTGAGGTTCGGCTGCTGTCTGCCGAGAGAGGGCGCCTGGATGGGAAAGTCCACCGCCGGGGGTTTCAGGCCGACACATCCTCCCCCCAGCAGACAGAAGCCGGCGCTCTCGTCCCCACGGCTCGGGCCTGCTGGGGAGAGTCGGCCGCGGTTCGCTTCGGTAGGGCGCCCGGAAGCAGAACAGACCGGGGGCAACGATATGTGGGGGATGGGCACAGGGGGGCGTCGCATCGACCCCCAATCGCCCATTGATTGATCGTCGATAGGGGCCCGATAGCCCCAACCCTCCCAGGAACGCGCGGATTTGCTTATCGCCGATCAATCGGCGATGTATCGCCGATTCCCAGGTCGATGCGTCCCCCCCTGCCCTTCACAAGAGTGCTGTTCACGTCGAGCAGGCACCGTCGCTGCACACGATTGGAGCGCGTCGCGCCGCAGTCGGCCACGCGTAAGAGGGACCCTTCGCCGGAGCGACCTTCGGTGCGGACCCGCAGGGTCCCCCCAAGCACTGGCTTGCGCGCCTGGATTTGCGTCGCCCTCTGCCTCTCTCGGCGGAGGGCCGCTTGAGACTGGTAGTTGGCCTTCGGGGGGCCCCCGTGTCGCCAGCCGCGGCTGGACGCAGTACGGAAATCTTGTGCGCTTGGACCCCAGGAGGGGTCTGGGGAGAGACTCCGAACTGCCAGTCTCTCAAACCACCCTGCTCCGACCTCCACCCGCAGCACCCGCGGCCCCCGGAAGCAGCGCACCAAAGGCAATGCCACGCCTGCCCAGGGCCTCGGACGGCGCGCAGCCGCTGCAGCGCGGCCGCGCGGCGGCTGGAGGGAGCAGCCCCATCCGGCGTCCGGCCCCAGCGTGGCACCGGCGCGCCAGCCCGCGCTCACCGTGGCCTCCTCCCAATCCGCCCGTGTGCGTCGAAGCGCGGGCCCAGATCCGACGTCGCGATGCCCTGCGCAGCTTGCCTGTAAGGGCTTGATACAGCGCTTCTCTTGCCCTAGGGACCCTTGCCGCATAGCTCACGATATCCTTTCTGGCCTGAGTGCGCCGCCTTTTTCTCTTTTTTCTCTCTCAGATCCCAACGACTGAAAAAAACGTGTTGTTCAAAGCTGTGATTGCATGATCATCTTGTCAATGACAGCCGAATGGCATTTCTCAAGGGAACTCGCTCGGTTTTCGTAGCGCGCCGTTGAGATCTATACCATTCCGTTGCCGTATGGTATGCGAGTTCTAAGTGCCCCAGGGCGCCCCTACATAGGTTCAAGGCACTATCAGATGGCAACGTCTACGAACGTATACGTAAGGTATGCGAAATTCACGTAGCACGTGTATATGAAACGTACAGGAAGCGTATTCAAAATTCACACAGAACATATACGGCTAGTTTACAACACGTGTACGACATGCACACGGGACGTAGGCTAAATGTAGGCAAGGCGTATATGACACGTATACGCAACGTATACAAATCGCACATGGTATGGAGATGGAACGTGTATGGAACGAATCTGAAACGTCAGTTTAACGCACGCAACACAATTCTGAAACGTATTTGAAATGAATACTGAACGCATGTGCAACATATCTGAAACGTAACAATACGACCAGCACTTTACAAGTATATGTGGCGCACTTGGAACCATATGAAATGTGAGCAAAACGTATACGCAACGCAGACTCGCCAAACAATGCTTGCACCCAGGGTTTACCTCTGTTCCGGGGACTGTGCCTGTGCGTCGGTCTGGCGGCTAGGTGGCCGCCGTCGTCGCCCCGTCACTGATTCGTCGCCGCCCATCCTCTGGGCCTGTGCGTCGGTCTGGCGGCTGTGTGGCCGCCGTCGACGCCCCCTTGCCTCCTCGTCGCCGCCCCTGTCGGTCTGGCGGCTGTGTGGCCGCCGTCGCCGCCCCGTCGCCGCCTCGTCGCCGCCGCGTTTTGCATTGCATCGCGTTGCTTGGCATTGCGTGGACTGCTCAACATAGATTGCAAGATCTGCCAACAACGCTTGTTGCATAGACATATCGTACCACACCGACTGCACCACGTAGATTGCACCTAGACTGAGCACCTGGATTGTACCACATAGCGTGCACAAAAGAGGTTGCACCACACAGATTGCACCACGTAAATTGTATTACACATACTGCGCTGGACAAAGCAGATTGCTCCAAGTAGGTTGCAGTGCGCACGTTCGCATGTTGCACAACTTATATTTTACGTTATCGATTGCATCACATTGTTTGCACCGTACAACTTCTCCCAATTAGAAAGAGAATCGACTCCACCACCCTCCCGAGGCTAGATTTATCGGTTCCCCCTGGGGATGTGCAATTTGAATATGGTAATGCTCCATCGTCCATCCTAAATACGAATTCGTACCATCCAAGCCCAGCCAGTATCCACCCCCTTCCCAGCCACCCTCTGCAAAACATGCTATGCACGCGCAACATTGTTTGCACCGTGCAGATTCTCCCAATCAAAAAAAGAGAATCTAACAACCACCCTCCGGAGGCCAGATTCATCGGTCCCCCTCGGGATGTGCAATTTGAATATGATTATGCTCCATCGTCCATCGTAAATATGAGTTCGTACCATCCCAGCCCAGCCGGTATCCACCCCCTTCCCAGCCACCCTCTGCAAACCATCTTTTGCGCGCGCACTCGTTTATCCAAAATCAACAGTTTTCAATAATCCCTTGCAACAGTTGGACGAAGTTCGCACGCGCGCGTTGTCGCGCGCGCATGCCGAAATCCTTCAAAAACATTTGGTTTCGCAGCGATTTCAAAACAGAGTATCCAAAACACTCATAAAACCACAGGGTTTCGCAACACGGATGTTCAAAGAAAGCTTGCGCGTGCGTTCTTGTGAATTCTTACGGAAACATTCGGTTCTCGTCATTTTCAGAAATTGTTACCAAAGGGCTTCGCGCGTGCATGTCGAAATCCTTCGAGCGCCCTTGCACGCTTATACAGTTTGTATACGATGCAACAGCGAAACGTATACAACACATTTGCAACAAGGGTGCGCACCATCTATAAAACGTATCCGCCCCGCGTGTTCACAAGGTATAGAGCACGCATGCAAAACGCACGCGGCACTTGCACAGACAGTAGAGAAGAGAAAGCGGGCATAACACCTATACGACCACGCTTCGGGTGATAAGGAGGTTGTGGGGAGGGGGGGGGGAGGAGGGGGCACCACGGGACACCACGGATCACCGCGGGACATGTCTCGATCTCATTATCGGTCTCATTTTCGATTTCACGATCGATCTCATTCAACGGGACACCATTAGACACCACGGGGCACCTTTGGATCTCATTATCGATCTCACCATCGATCTCACTCAACGAGACACCACGGGACACCTCGGGGCACCGCATCGATCTCACTATCGATCTCACTATCGATTTCACGATCGATCTCACTCAACGGGACACCACGGGACACGTGTCGATCTCATTATCGATCTCACGATCGATCTCATTCAATGGGACACCACGGGACACCTCGGGGCACCACATCGATCTCAGTATCGATCTCAGTATCGATCTCACTATCGATCTCACGGTCGATCTCATTCAACGGGACACCACGGGACCTTACGGGACACCGCAAGCCACCGCCAGACGGGCGGGCGGAGGACAATCATTTGTCTTGACTTTGCCCTAGCAGCGGCGGGCAGCACGGGACGCCACAGGACACCACGGGAGACCGCGGGACACCGCGAGCCGCCGGACGGGCGGGCGGAGGCTAGTCATTTGATTTGTTTTCGCAGTGGCAACGGCGGGTTCATTCCTCCCGCGCGCCCACGCAGCTTCGCCTCGCCCGCATGCACGACACGAACGAAACGAAACTATTTCCCTGTCGGGGGTCTCCGTTCCATTGCGATCTCACCCCCGACCTCCTACGTACATTGTATACATATAAGTAGACATACATACATACTTAGATGCATTCATATACACACACGCACAGAACCCGTATGTTGTATTTCCTTCGCGGGGGGGTAGAAGCCAATTTGATGCAGCATTTTATCATGTGGAGCGTCATATGTTCCCCTCTCCTCTAGATGCCTTTCGCTGGAGGTTCACCCCTGAGGCTGTTGGAAGTTCCCTTTTGCTCCTCCTCCTCATCCCCCTCCGTACCTCTGGTGTGATGGACCATGGGATCTTTTGGGGCCTCCTGCGGATTCAAAAAGCGTCGGACTTCCAGAGGCCTCCGAGACTCTGCTTTGGCCTCCTTGGGGTCTCCTGGTGCCTCCTGTGACCTCCTGGGACTTCCTGCGGCCTCCTGGGACCTCCAGAGGCCTACTGTGTTTTATGGCGCTCCCCATTGGAGCGCCAAGGGCCCTCCTGGGACCACCTGGGTGTTCAGGGTGCTCCCAGGGCCTTCTGGGTTCTGTTTGGGCGTGCTGGGACTTCGCGGAGCCGCGGGGGGCCTCCTGGGACGTCCTGGGGCCTCTTGGGTCCTCTTCTTCCTCCTCCTCCTCCTCCTCCTCCTCCTCCTCCTCCTCCTCTTCCTGCTGGGACGTCCTCCTGACGTCTCCTGGCGCCGCCTCAGTCTTCTCAGGCTTCGTGGTACTTTCTGTGTCCTCCCGGAGCCTCCTGGGATCTCTGGTGGCCTCCTGGGAATGCCTGGGGTCGCCTGGCCCCTCCTTGGGCTTCCCGAGCCTTTCTGCGGGGCCTCATAAGAAGCTCAGCGCGGGGCCTCAAAGGTGACGACAGTTTCGAGGACCGTTCGGAAAGGGGGCTCGGTGAAAGCTTGAAAAGCGACGAGACTGTCACACGTGAGACCCAGAACCGTCCCGGGCATACCGCGGCGCGAAGACGGTCCCCCACAGTACGGTGCGATTTGCCCTCCCCCCGCTGTCTTGCCGAACCCTGGGAGGATCATTTTCGTTGTTTTCGTTGGTGACAAACATTTCCCACTTTTTTGTTGGTGACGGAGGGCAGGCGGCGGGGGTGGGCGGGTTGGCGGGGTGACGGGGTTGGCTGGGTTGGATGGCTGGTGGCGGGATGCCGGGGTGATTGGTTGGGCTGGGTGGCTGGTTGGTTGGGTGGCATGGTGACTGGTTGGGCTGGCTGGCTTGTGGGATGGGTTGGGTTGTGGTTGGCTGGGTGGTGGGGTGGCGGGGTGGTTGGTTGGGCTGGGCTGCTGATTGGAGGGTTGGGTGGGTGGCGTGGTGGCTGGTTGGGCTGGCTGGCTGGTTGGATGGGTTAGGTTGGCAAGTTGAGCTGGCTCTGGCAAGTCGTGCCAATACGTGAATATATGCAACACGTAAGCAAGACACATAACGCAAAACGTACCGCGAGCGCATCCTCAGGGATCCCGCAGGGAACTTCTTGATCCCGCAGGGATTTCTCAGGAATCCTTCAGGAATCTTTCAGGAATCTCCCAGGCATCCTGAGGAATCCTCCAGAATCCTTCAGGGATCCTGCAGGGATCGTCAGGACTGCCAAGAAATCCGCCAGGAAGCCCGAGCCGAGGAGGCGCGTTCTAGGAGGCGCCCGCGAAGCGCTTCAAGCGCTTCGAAGCTAAGATAATCTCCGTTGGGATCCGTACGCCCCAGTGCTCCTACCCGTTGGGGTCTGAACCGTCTCGCTGGGATCTGAACAGTCCTGCTGGGATCTGACACTTTCTCGGGGGAGTGGTGTCCTCGCCCCCTGTCGCACGGCCGTGGGGTGATGTCTCCCCTGCGGTGACAGTTGCTAAGGGGCCGCTAACCTTTCTGTACAGGTTGCGCGGCAGGCACGGGGGAGGATTTGCCATCCCCGACCGTATGCCCTGCTGCGGCGCTGGACTGTTTTCCTCTTGCTCTGGCCACGGGGCGGTCGCCCGTCGTGTGGCCAGTTCCTCCTAGCCCATGGGGTTGCTCGAGGTACTCTTTCGGTCAGTGAGGTCCCCCTCGCTCCCAGTAGTGGTTTCCCAGCCACCTCTGCTGGTTTTTATCACTAAGGCTGTGCGGGCGTTGAAAAAAAACAGCGTTCGGCACGGACGAAATCGGTACGGAAAGCATGCGTGCGAAGACAGACAGCAGTTCCTGTTCATTTTGTGCAGCGCTCGCGCTGCCGGTGTTGCCGCAGCCGTTGTGTTCATTTCAGAAAGACGGTTGCCTGGCCAACAGCGTCCCGTGCCGGTGTTGGACAACGTTTGGTGTCGGGCATCGTCGCATGTTTTTTGTACCCATTTCGGGGGTCCGGAGGGGTGTCGGGTGTTGCCTTTGGCTGCGCATATAATAGCAACCGTTCGCCGCAGAGGCTTTTTGTGCGTTGCGGCTGTCGGGCGGCGCGGGGGGAAGGGGGCAAACCAAAGCATGTAGGCCGATAGCGTCGCATCGCACGCAATGACCGGCAAGCCGCGCGCCATTGCCTAGGGTTGCTCTTGCGTGTAGCCGGTGCCAGAGGGTGGTTCCGTCCCAAGGCGCCTCCAGTTTTTCGCGGCATTGTACTGCCCGTGCACGGGCCTTTTCTGGGCAATCTGGCGATCCAGACAGGAGTTTCGCTTTTGTTACGTGGCCACCTTTGGGAACTGTAGAATGTCTTCGAATTTTTGTTGAAGATAGCGGCACCTAGCGGCACTTAGCGGCACGAGCGCTTGCTGTCCCGATGGGGCCGGCGGTCTCATTCACACGCCCGTGGTTTCACGCAAATCGGCGACCCCGAGGCTTGATTTACATGCCCGTGGCCCAGATGGGGGTACACGGCCACTAAGTGCCACTAAATGGTAATTTTCAGAACCACTAGCGGCCAGTAAGTGCATTGACGTGGTAATTCTCGGAACCAGTAGCGGCCACCAGGTGCCATTAATTGGTAGCTCTCGGGCTACTAAGTGCCGCTAAATGATTTAGATTTTCGGAACCGGTAGCGGCCGGGTGCCACTAAATGGTACTTCTCGGAGCCAGTAGCGGCCGCGTGGTGCCATTAAATGGTAATGTTCGGAGCCGCCAAAGGCCACTAAGTGCCACTAGGTGCCATTCCACGGCCGCTGCAGGCCGCTAAGCGGCCACTGCGTGCCACTAAATGGTAATTCTCGGCGGTCGCGATGGTCAGTCCGAAGTTCCCCAGAGAGCCCACACAACTTTTGAAGGATCGAATAGCGGACATTTCTGGAGAAGGCAGCACAATTTTAGTCGAAGGCTGCGGAAGAAACGGCGTAAGTATAAGTGGCGCGTCAACGGTTTAATCTCCAGGGTGTTCTGGCAATGCCCGATTCGGAGCGAGCCTTGGCCCTTGTTGGGGGGCTCGCCGCGGCGTCGCCATGGCTGGCAGCTGGCTTTGTGGTGGGTTGAGGGTGGATCGTCCTCTGGATCTTCCGTCCGGGGTGGGGTTGGCCAGAGCGCAGGCTCCTGCTTTGGGCTCACCTGTGTGGACAAGCTTCGATTCGACCACCTGTACTCGGATAAGCTTCGATGTGCTGCTCCTTCTGCTCCTGGTGCCGCTGCTGCTGCTGCTTCTCCTCCTCCTCCTCAGGCGATGCAGTGAGAATCTCGACTGAGGCGCGAGAGAGGGAATTTCGCGGTGGCGATCGGCCAGCCCGGCGTCGCGCGCAGGGGCGCAACGCCACCTTCGACGTCTTTCGCGAGAAGGGCGTGGCTGTTCACTTGGACACCGACGAGGTGTCGGGCAGATCTCTGCCTCGACTTGGCTCACCAGAGCATGACGGAGGGAGAGGCAGGGGGAGTCGTAGGTGGAGGATGGGGATCGATGCGGGGGGAGAGAGGAGGAGAGGGCGAGGATGGAGGAGAAAGGACAGAACTGGAAAACCTTAGGAGAGGAGGCAGGAGAAGCGAGAGATGGAGGGCGAAGGAGGGGGAAGAAGCGGAATTGTAGGCGGATGTGGAGTCCGACGAGAATCGATGATGGGAGGACGTGGGGAAAAGAAAGATATCAGGAGGATCCCGCTCGCACGATCATCGCGCACGCAGACAGATCTCATGCAGCATGTAGTGGCGATCTGCCATGATGACACCTTGAAGCATGTTGTTCACGTGTTTGATCTGCTTACTACCTCATGGAGGACATTCAGCGCTCATAGCACAGCGACGTGCGACAATTGTATTCAGGCTTTACTTTTATTCCTCGTTGCTCATTCGGACCCTGCCAGTTCCTCTCAGAGCGCCATCGTTGCACCCACTCTCGTGCATAATTGGTGTTCGCGCAGTGGCTTTTGGCAGCAAAGTCGACCAAGATTGAGGAGGAGAATGCCTGGGACGAAAATCGGGAACAGACGGGCGCGTTTTTGTAAGAAGGACGACGGATGAGAAAGAGGAAGGATGTTGAGGAGGTGGAGGAGGAGAAGGAGAAGGAGAAGGATAATCGGTAAGGAGGAAGAGGCGAGATACCGAGAGTAGAGCGGAGGGACAGAGGGGGAAGGGGAAGAGAGGAAGGAGGGGTAGGAGGACGGGGTGCGAGGAGGATGACGGGAGGAGCGAGGAGCGATGAGGGAGAGCGGTGAATGGAACAGGGAAGTTGAGGAGGACGACGAGGAGGACGAGGAGGGAGGGAGGGCGGCAACGAAGATCAAGGAGGAGGTTCAGGAGGTGACGAAGCATCCGCGGGCGAGGGTGAGGAGGAGGACGAGGAGGAGGAGGAGGAAGACCCAGTAGAGGAGGAGGGGGAGGGACAGCCCTTCGAGGAGGAGGAGGAGGACGACGACGACGTCGGCGATGGTTTGGAGGGGCGCCCTGTCTTTGGCTGGGGCCATTAAGAGGGGAGCTGCGCCTGACAGGTGGAGACCTGGGCGCAGATGTCGCAGGCCGACGTCTTCGTCGGCGCGAAGAGCAGCTTCAGCTTCTTCCCCTCGCTGCTGACCAACGGCTCCGCCGCCCCACCGCTCGACGTTGCTCTCCGCTCTTCGCCCCGCCCCCTCGCTCTCCTCTCCCTCCCTGGACGTCCCGCGGCCTGAAGGCATCGCTCGGGCGTGGTCGTTCGCGATCAGCGCGCCGGGCTCCAGAGCGATGTTGATTCGGCAGGGTCTCGGTGTTCCCGACGTTGTCCTCTGGGCTTCGTTCTAGAATGCTTGCCGATTCGCGTGCCCCCACTGTGCCCATCCAGCCAAGATGCCCGGGAGAGTTGCCTTGATCAGGGAAGCGCAGCAGCAAGGAGTGGGGCAAGGGAAAGGAGCCAAGCGTTTGCGGGCTGCCCCCGAGTCGCGGTCATGGGAGCAGCAACGGCGAGAAGCATGGCGCAGCCGACCATCACGGCATCTCCCGCGGATCCAGGCATCTTGTGGTGTAGGTTGTCTCGAGACGCCCTGTTGTGCACGTAATTATTTGTCCCCAGCCACCTGTCTGTCTCCAGGCTTCCCGTGCTAGCTTTGTCTCTATAGACGTCCTGCGGTTTGCCTCGCGCTTCGCACTTCGCATTTGGCAATCACATACAGGCCTCCACGGCGCGCGCGCCGGCGACAACCCAGCGCCCGCTCCGCGGACGCTGAACGGCTCAGAGCTGCCCAGCGTGAGCCGGTCGGAGCCGTGCAGCCGACAGGGGACAGGCGGTGGTGTCACACGCCCCCTTCTTACCAGCCTCGAACGTATCCCTATCCCTAAGATCGACACGCCAAAAGGCGATGACAAATTTTTAGGGATTCGCCTTCAAAAAGTAAGGGAATCCCTAAGATTGGCATCGTGATGAGGAGGTGCCCAGCACAGGGATAGGGATATGTTTCAGGCTGGTAACCTTCCCCCCCCCCCCTGCTGGGTGCCAGGGCAACGGAGGGGCAGGCCGCCCGCAGCCAGCCGCCCTCCCCGCGGAGGCGGGGGGCGCCGCTCGCCGGAGCTGCGGGCCGCCACGCTGTCTCCGCAGGCCTGCCGGCGCCCACCCCCCTCCCCTCCACCCGGGGGGCCCCGCTCCCCCCGGCCGCAAGGCCAGGGGGAGCTACCGGGCGACCCTGGGGACGACGGTTGGACCCCGGACACCCTGGCGGACCAGGCGCTGCCTCACAGGGCAGGGGACCGTGGCACAAGCGACCCCATTGCGGGAAAGTCCGCGGAGGAACCTGGCACAAGGAGAGGGGGAGGGGGGCGCAAGAGAGGGGGAGAGGGCCCAACGAGCAGCCCCAAGCCCAAGAGGCATGGGAACCAACGAAAAGTACCCCAACCCGACTGCGAGGCGAAGGGACACCTTGCAGCAAGCACGAGAACGCGAGCGCAGGCACGAGAACGCGAGCCCGGGAGGGAGCCAAAGAGAAGGGAAAGCACACACTCGAAGTTGGGTAACGTACCGGACGTGGCTATGGCATCCCACAGGACGTCCTCGGAGGAATAGGGAGATGAGAGCTTAGGACGTCCTGTGGTAGATTTGTCCTCGTACGTCTTGCGGCATGCGGTATACATCACTCTGGATGTTGTCCGCCGCCTTGCGGTGCATTTGCCTTCAGATGTCCTACGCGGTACGGTGTGCCACAGAACGTCGGAAGAAAACGAACGTGAGGAGAAGGAGGAGGAACAACAATACTATGGGAGGAGGGGGAGGAGGAGGATTAGGAGGAGGAGGAGGAGGAGTCGGAGGAGAAAGAGGAGGTGGATGGAGATAGCCCATCCAGAAGCGATGCCCAGGGGAGTTGTCGGGACGTAGAGAAGCATGTAGCGAAGCAAGGAGCCCACAATGGTGAACTAAGACAACGTTGGGAGCCTCTTCGATGCCTTTTGGAGCCATCTCGGAGCCCTCTTGGGCTCCTCTTGGGAGTCCCGAGAGCGCTCTCGAGGCTTTCTTGGGGCCTTCTGATGGGGCATCGGCGCCCCTCTTGGGGTCATCTTGGATGCCCTCGCTCGAAGAGGGTTTTGTCCCAACTGCGGAGCCCCCACAAGAGGCCGAAACATCGCGGCTCAGAGGGCTCTATGGGGGGGCTGTTGCAGCGGTCTGGGGCGCTCTCGGGGCCGTCTTGAGGCGCTCTTTGTGCCCTTCTTGGGACCCGAAGCCTATCGGAACAGAAAGGGCGAGAAGGCAGAACACACTCGATTTCCCTCGCCTGGTCGATCTCCAGTGGCATGGGATGGATTTTGGGCTCTCGAGGACTTCCTCGTGGGGATCCGCTTTGCATAGTCAATTTCCTGTGGCTTGAGCTACATTGGGTCGTTATGTGGCCTTCCTGGAGGCATGCTGAAAGCAACACTTAACCACGTACACTGACACATCATTGATATGTACATCTTTATGCATGTATACGTGTATACGTGTATATGTATACATCGCTGTATGTCTATATATGTACATGTGTATGTGCCGATGCTTGTGTATATACACGTATCTATGAATGTATGTATGCATGTATGTATGTATGCATGCATGGAGGGATTTATCGATGTATGGATCTATGCATACATGGATGCATACATGCATGGACGTATGCCGGTGAGTATGTATGTGTGCGTGTATGGCTGTATGGATGTGCGCGTGCATGCATGTGTGTATGTGTACGTCTTCTGCGCATGCCGGCAGGCAGGCAGGCAGGCAGGTATGCAGGCAGGCAGGCGGGTGGTAGGTGGGCAAACACCGGGTGGGAGGGACGGGCGCCCCCGTCGGGAACCCCGACTCGCCAGGGGCGCGCCGGGCCTCCGGGAGCCCCGTCTCCGGGGCCCCCTGCCCCCGGGAGGGGTCCAAGACGGCTGCAAGACGGCCAGAGAGCCCTCCAAGAGAGCCCAGAGCGCCCAAGAGCGTTCCAAGATGGCTTCAGATGGCCTCCACACGGCCCAAAGGGGCTCAAAGATGGTCGCAGAAGCCTTGAATGGGGACCCCCGAGGGCCTCAGGAAGCCCCGAACAATTATTCTCCATACATTTTCCAAGGTTTTTGGGGTTCTCGCCTGTTCAGGCTTCCCACGGCTCAGGACAGCCAAAGAGGCACACATAATCGCCCCGAGAGGATCCTAATGCGGTGGAAGAGGGCCCCATGACGGACCAAGAGGGCCCCAAGACTTCCAAAGAGAGCTCCGAGGCGGCCCAGGAGTGCCCCAAGAGGCCCCTGAGAGAGCCCACAGCGGGCCCCAAGACACCCCCAAGAGGGTCCAAAGACTGCCAGAGCCCCCAAGACGGCCCAGAACAACCTCATGACAGCCTCACAAGGCTCCCACCATCAATCCAGGATGGCCTGAGAGGCTTCCAAAGTAACCTTCAAGGGGACCTCGAAGGACGCCAGCGCCACGACGCTCCAATACGACGCCCCCAAGACGGCCTCAGAGGCCTCCAAGACGGCTCCGAGCCTTGTACGTCAACATGGCCCTCAAAATTCCCCAGGTGCCCCAGAGGCGTCCCTCAGAGGACCTAACACGCCCCCAAGAGGCCCCAAGGAGACTGCAAGAGGCTCGCCAGTCCCCGTTTCTACGTGCTCCAGAAGCGTGTCCCCGGAGCGCGTAGAGTTTCCTCGGCACCTGGCTCCGAACGCCCCTGCACAGGACGTCGTCGGTTCGACCCCCACAGAGGTGGTCTCAATGTGAGCGTGCTCTGGACACATCCCTCTGGAGCACGTCGTATTTCACCTGCGCCCGCCTCTTAAATCCAGCACCACCTTATCCCGGGTCCGCCGCCCAAGTGAAATCGCGCCAAATTCCATGACGGCCCACAAGACACCACAAGTTACGCTCCAAGGTTACCACATGGCTCCCAGCTTGGCCCCAAGACATGGCTCAGAGGGCCCCAAGACAGCTGAAGAGAGCCCCCTGGTTGCTCCCAACGTCGCTTCAACACATGGCTCAGCGAAGCCAGTCAGCTTAAGAGAGCCCCGCGAGCCCAGTTTTCTGCGTGCTCCGGAACCGTCTCTCTGGAGCGCGCAGGATGTCCCAAGCACCCTTCTCGGCAGGTCTGATTTGCACCTCAAGCTCCAGAAGCGCTTTGCCGGAATATGTGGCTCCAGCTGCACACCCCCTCCCCCTTCAGCTCATGCTTCTTCAGAGGATGCCCCAGTAGCCCATCCAATATCATTCCCAGACGGCTCATGAGCCCCCTCGACAGTCCAAGACCGCCCTTGGCAGCCCAAGATGGACTCCAGACAGCCGAAGCCGCCCAAAGTGCCGCCAATCCCCGCCATGCTCCGGAAAAAAAACGCCATTCCGGAACACGTGGCCAGCGGGCCCCGTGGGGCTACGAAGACGGACCGCCACTGCGACGAACACGACGACGACCACCACGACGGCTCCTGCAATAATGCGACGCGCTGCTCGAGCTCTACCGAATGCCACAGTTGCGTGCCCAGTGGCGCCGCGGGCGCGCCGCAAGACGCCCACCCAGGGGCCACCAGCACAGGCCTGGAGGTCCCGAGGACGGCCCGGGAGGCTTTCCAACACGGCTCCGAGGCCCCCGACTGCAGCCTGACAGCGTCTTGGACATGGACTAGAACCATCACGCGCGCGAAGCGCGCGTGATGGTTCTAGTGTATAGATGTGTGTGTATATGCATATGTGCATGCACATATACACATGCACACTATCCATATACATGTACATTGACATCTGCATATACATGTTCATATACATGTACGTATATATATATATATATAGAGAGAGAGAGAGAGAGAGAGCGAGAGAGCGAGAGAGAAAGAGAGAGAGAGAGATTCCCTTGTGTGGTTTTAAGAATCTGGGACCCTGCGACCCCCCCTCTAAACGGGACCCCTCCGGATCCTTGGCCCTTGGGGGGCACCCTGGACGCATGCAGACGGTCCCCTGCGTGCCGCGGTTTTGTGGCCTCCCATGCTGGACGGCCCCGCGAGAGCCCACGGAGACCCCAAACGCCCACCATGCGCCCGAAGACGACCCAAAGAAGACCCCCACAAGGCATTCGAAACGCCAGAAAAGCATTGATGTCCTATGGTGATGTTGTATGAGTTTGGGAGTGCTCAGTTTGTCGGTCTTGCCTGCAGGCGTCCGAAACCGCCCGGAAAGTCAGCGAATCGTCCCAAATCCGAGGGGGTTTCCAGGCAGTCCAAGAGGAGCCCCAAGGGCCAACAGAGCCCCAACATGGCCCGAAGAAATCGCTCCAAATCGTGACCCTGTCGTTCAGGGGGACCGCGGTTAGGGTGACACGGGGAAGCCCCCAGAGGCTCCCAGAAGGAACACAGGTGGCTTCCAGAAGGCCCCAACAAGCCATGGAAAGCCTTCGTGTGACTTACAAAGGCTCTCCTAGGATGAGCGTCCGCAAAAAGAGCTGAGGATGGGGGCGAATTCGCCAGATAGGCCGAGAATGAGGAAGAGGAAACGGAAACATGAGGGAACGATCGCTAAAAAACACGATCGAAGACACCTACGGCGAATCACCGCCGCCCCCTGCCTTGTGGAATCGTCCAAATGGCCGAGCGTTGTGGCAAAAGCTCTGCCAAGCTATCGGACCATGTGTTCCCCCAACCGTTGTGGAAACCCTTCGAGGAACACTTGGTGGAGGATGGCGGGGAAGATCAGGAGGAGGAGGAGGAGGAAGAGGAGGAGGAGGAGGAGGAGGGGGCATCTTGGGAGTCTCTGGGGGCACTCTTGGGGCCCCCCTGGGAGCTTCCTTTGAGCCTCGTGGAGGCATCTTGGGTGCCTTCGTTCTTGCCCGATCAGGTTCCAACGACGATGCCAGAAAAGGCAGCAACGAGTCATCGCAAAATGTTCCGCTTTTCCATGTTGCATTCTTGCTTGCGTGACAGATTGAACGATTTGGGAGGCCACCTTGGGTTCTCTGAGGCCTCTTTGGAGGATGGTACACCACACTTTCGAAGGAGACGCAGGAGGAGGAGAAGCAGCATCAGCAGCGGCAGGAGGAGGAGGAGGAGGAGGAGGAGCAAGACAAGGTGCAGCAAGATGAGGCACACGAGCTTCAGTTGGGCGGCGAGGAGGACGAGAGCGGCGGGAGGAGCTGGCGAAAGCCGGCGCTCCGCGGTCTGAGCTTGAGCGCTGCCTTGTCCTGGGGAGGGGGAGCGCACAGCCGTTCGGAGCGCTGCGCGCGAGGCGCGCGCTGCGCGAAGCCGGGCGACCCGCTGGGGAAGAGCACATCGAGAGAGGCACAGGCCGATGCGCCCCCCGGAGGCCGGCGGGCAACCAGGGGGTTCCAGTTCAGGGAAGGGCTCCGCGCTCACGCGAGCGCGTGAGGCTGGGCGGACAGAGGCTCCCGGCACACCGCCCGAGCCTGGCCCTTGCTGTCCAGCACCGCGTGGCCATGCAAGGGTGCGGCAAGAGCACGTCGGGAGGGGCGAGGCCAGCCGGAGAGAGAGAGAGAGAGAGAGAGAGCGGCCGAGCGCGCCACGGGCGGCCGAGGGAGGAGCACCCCGGCAGCGGCGGCGCCACCGAGCGCCCCCGGGGCGCCCGCGCGGCCGCGGCACAGGCTGCGTCATGTACCAGAAGTGGCTCACCAGGACGCGCCCCCGCCCGGCCCCTCGCGGCGGTGCGCGCGGGCGGAGGTGGGGGGGGCGGCGGCGGCGCTGCTGCTGCTGGGCGGCCTGCCCCTGCGCTCGGGGCTCCGTGGGAGGAGCTCGCCCCACCAGCTCGCCCCACCAGCTCGCCCTCCTGGGTGGGGGAGATGGGCCCGGCGACGCCCGAAGGCACGGGCACTCCTCCCCCGATCCGGGCGGGCTGCACTCGGCCCGGGGGGCCCAGCGGCCCCTCCAGTGGAAGCGAGGCTCGGTGCTTATAGCCTTCGCGTGGCGGCACCGGGGGAGGGGCATCCCGCCCTCGGCCTCCTCCTCGCGTGAAGAAGCCCGCGGGGGCCAGAGTGCGAGGGCGGCTCCGCCGGCGGAGGCCGGGGAGAGAGCTCGGGCGGAGGCCGGCGCCAGGCGGAGGCCCGGCGGCTCAAAGATCGGGCCCGGAGGGGCGGGGGGGGCCCTGAGGGCCGGAGTCGGCGGCGAGCGAGGGGGGGAAGCGAGAAGGGGCGGGCCTTCCCAGAAGGCTCCGACGTCCCCCAGCCTTCTGAGGAGTTCCCTCGGCCCTCTTCCCCGGAGACACCGGGAAGACACCTCTCCCCCGCCGCCTTTCTGAGAAGGCCTTTTCCTTCTCATGGCCCAGCCTCGCTCGCCGCCGAGGGAAGGGGTCCAAGGTTGAGTCTGCATGGTCTGAGGCACCTCGCCCTTGGGCCACCATCCTTCAGGCTTCAGGACCCCGTCCTTGAGCCACCGAGGAGGTGGCTCCCCCTGCCCGGGAGGTCAGCGCGGAGCACCCAGGGCTTCTTCTGGAGCTGGCCGCCTGGGTAGTGTTGGGCCCCAGTCCCCGGCGACGTGATCCCTTCTTCTCGCGCCTTGGGCTCCTTCCCGAGGGCCTGGGACCGGCTTCTCATACCAAGGGCCTGGGGCCCAGTGAGGGCATGCAGGGGCCGAAGATTGCAGAGCACCTTCCGCAGTGTTTTTTCCACGACGCAAATAGGGTCAGGGGGACGTTGCCCCCGATACCTCCGGTGACTCGCAAACACCGCACCCGAATCTGCTAGCAGGTGCCGGCGATCAGAAAAGAAGGCACAGGTGCACGGCAGGGTGGTGCCTCGTCGACGCGCGGCGATCCTGAAGCGGGCGATCAAGGTTGTACGCCGCGGTGACCCTGAGTCGGTCGACATTGAACGATCCGCGCTGTCGGAAAGCTGAGATCAATCCTGGTTGCACGATCCTTGCGGTGTCAGCGCCGAAGACGTCACGACACGAATTTGCCGTAATCATGTCGTCGTATGTCTGGGTCCAGGGCAGCAGCGTCCATGTCGATCCGATCGATCCGATTCGATATCGTGTCCGACTGGCCCGAGCCGACTGGCTTCCAATATCCCGACGTCCCTGCACGGCGTCGTTGCGCATCCTGGTGCGGTCGATTCGGTTCGACCTCGGCTCGATGCCGGTGCGGCCCGATCCGACGCATACTTCGAATCGGCCCGACTTCCCGATTCGACGCCGCCTGACCCTGGGGGAACAGAAGACGTCGTCACGACACGAACCTGTCATGTGTCCTCGGAGGTCGGCCGGCTTCTCATCCTAGACCCGCTCCTTCACAGCCCTTGAGCCTGGCGAGGGCCCCTGGGGGCCCAAGACGGTGAAGCACCGCCGCATTTGGAGACTGTGTATGTCTTCCGGATCCGGCGATCATCCGGGTCATCTGGCCCGCCCGCACCCCCCGCCTTCAGCCCCGCAGGGAGATGCACCGGTCGTTGAAAGTCGGTCTCTTTTGGATCCCCAGAACCCAATCTACTTCAAGCGCCTTCCTACTTCAAGAATCGATCTGCTTGTGGTGCGCTCGATGACGCCCTGGGCGGGTCCGAACCCAATCTACCCGACCGATGGGTCACCCGACCTTGTCGGTGGCGCAGACCCGAGAGGGCACGCGGTACTGGCGCGCGCGGGCTGCCCAGAGCGAGAGGTTTTGGTCATCGGTGGGCACCTCGGGATCCCTCTCGCACCCTGCCATGTTCTTCGCCGAAGCTCAACAAAAGCGGCCCCTTGATTCCTGCACTGCGCTGGAGGCCTGGGCCGTCGGAGGCCCGGGGCGGAGGGCAGCGGACCGAGAGAGAGCGAGAGAAAGCGAGCGAGCTCCCGGCTGCGGACGTTCCGCGGCCACCCCTTCTGGCGCCTGCAGTCAGGAGCGAAAGGAGGGTCGCACACGCACATGGATCCACGCCGGCTTCGAAAGCATACGGTCCGCGCGAGCGCTCGTCACACGAGGCTGACCCCGCGGACCGGGGGTGCGCATTTCCCCCGCGGACCAGGGGTGCGCATTTTCCCAATCCGTGCTCGCACTGAAGGGGTCCTACAGCGGAGATCGAAAGGCTTGGCGAAAGTACCGGGCCGATTTCCATAGGCGGCCCGGATCCCGGTCCCGGGTTCCCGGGTTCCCGGTTGCTGGTCCCGGACCGATTTCGGTGGGCGGCGGGGTTCCCGGGTTGCCGGTTTCCTGGTTCTTTGGTCCATTTCCCGATCGGTCTCATCATCGATCTCATTCCCTACCTCGCTATTGATCTCACAATCGATCCCATTATAGATCGCACGAGGAACTCACTATCGATCTCACATATCGATCTCACTGAATCGACTTCACGATCGGTCTCACGATCGACCTTACTATCGTCCTTACGATCGATCCCACTCTGTCGGTCTCACTATCGATCTCACAATCGGTCTCAATATCCATATCACGAATTTTCAAACCATCCACTGATTGGGGTTAGACTCTGGTGCAATCATGTACGTAGCTGGGCGCGTACGTCCTTTATGGGCTTCCGATATAAATGGTGCGGTTACGCTGGGGTGCGGTTTGCGATCGGCACCGTTGGGGCCTGGGGAGCACGGCGCTGTCCTCGTCGGGCCTCCTCGGGTTGCGGCGGAGAGCTCCGTCGAGGTCCTCACCCGCCCCCCAGGGTGCTCCCCAGGGTGCCGGTTGCAAACCACACCGTTTTGCAGACCACACCCTTCAGAGTCGCCGATTTCCCGGTGTTCAGATCCCTATACGCGGAGGGGCGGCGCTCACGGCCCCTTCCCCCAAGGGAGGGAGGCCGCAGTTGCTCTCCGGCTGCGCCGGGTGGAGCACCCTTAGGCGCACGCTTCGATCCAGGTTTTCGGATGTTCCCGTCGGCTCCCAGGCGCTTTCCAGCTTCTGGATGCCTTCCTTGCCGAGAGCGTTCCTGGGGGTGCCTCGAGCTTCCCGCACCGCCGCCGGGGGCCCAAGTTTTTGTGGCCCGGAAGCCACCGAGGTCCCCAAGCAGCCAAGGCATTGAGAAGCAGAGTGCGGAGGATGTTTCTTGTTTGCGGCCTCCGGGTGCTCTCGCTGGGCTCCTGGACCGTCAGGAAGCGACTCGGGATTGAAGGGCAGCCCTGGGGAAAGGGTCGGGCTTCCAGGAGGCCCTTCCAGGAAACGATCAAAGCGTTGGATCTCCAGCTGGAGGGGAGGGGAGGAGGGACGGGCGGAAGAGAGGGGAGGGAAGGCAAGCTAGGTGCGCTCGCGTCATATCTGACATCCTACCCCTTCCTCCCATCCATTATCATGGCGTAGATGCCCTCTCTACTCGCACAGTCCGATGTCGGGAAGCGGAGGGGGAGGGAGCGGAAAGAGGAATGGACACGGTCGGTGCGCTCGCGGCGCCACATTTAACGGCACCCATTCGAACTGAGCTGAAGCCCCTTTGCTAGCAGCCGACAGGGGCGTCTAACAAGCAAGACCTCGACGTCTAACAAGCAAGACCTCGATTCCGAGTGACGCTTGCAGGATTACCTCATCGTTTAATGCACGAGCAGCATGGGGAATTTGTGCATTGGAAAGGGGATGGAGGAGGAGGAGGAGGAGGAGGAGGACGACTTTTCATAGGGGCTTTCGTTGGCTGCGCAAGGGGCCGTTCGTGAAAGGGGCCCAAGAGGAAGGGGGCATGATTTATATGTACAAGGCCTGTGCTCTAGCTGTGAAAGGCTGCTGGTACTACTTTTCTCGTGGGCGGCACGCTGCATCACTGAGAGGGCACCAGCGGCACCGTGGCCACTGTCCCTTCTCTGCTCATCCTCCTCCTTCTCTCCCTCCTCCTCCTCCTCCTCCTCCTCATCCTCCTCCCGTGTTCCTCCTCCTCTTCATCCTCCTCTGTTACGTTGGTCTCCTCCTCCTCCTCCTCCTCCTCCTTCTCTGAGCGTCAGCGGGCCAAGCGCCCCCTCCGAAAGAGCATGCTTCCGGTTAGCTCCTAACTTCCGTGGTGTTATGTTGCATGGTCTATTATTACTTCTCGGGTGTAGCACCAGCCCGAACTGCCAGGAGGACTTGCCACTCCCATCGGACAATCGGCAACGAGTGGAGAAGGCACAAGAAAGCGAGTCGGCAGTCCTCACTGCAAGGTGGCCGTGGACTCGAACATCGCCTTGAAGTTGGGTCCTGTAGGGGGTAGGCAAGAGCAGCAATATCACGAGCGCGTTGGCCTGTCCGAACGACGGCAAGCGTTGTTAAGTACACGATTGCCGATACAACAACTTGGGCACGATGGTCTCGGCGGGCTGCGCGTGCATGCACAACTTGGCGAACTGACGGCTACGACATGTCCTACCTTTTTGATGCTTCCCTCCCACTGGGCCCCGCTGCACTGCGTCGTCCGCTGCAAGCCGGCCTGCGCGACGCTTGTAATCAGACCGTGAATCACCCACGTTAGGGAGCACGGGCGCCATCGCCACGTCCGGCCCATCGCGTTGACCCGCCTCTTCCGTCGAGTCACGCTCTCCCTGCATTTACATCTCTGCCCTGCCGCGGCGGCGCCACTCTCCAGGGGACCGCCGCCATGCCCGCAGCGGGCCCTCAGTGGACGAGCGCCCTATGGGGGGAATACGGCTGGGAAGCAGGAGGAAGACCAGGAGGAGGAGGAGGAGGAGGAGGAGGAGGAGGAGGAGGAGGAGGAGGAGGAGGAGGAGGAGGAGGAGGAGGAGGAGGAGGAGGAGGAGGAGTGGGAGGAGAAGGAATAGGAGGAAGAGCAGGAGCAGCAATATCAGGAGGGGCAGGCGGAGGAGGGGCATGACGAGTCAGGGGATGGCAGCGGAGGGGTCGGGAAGGGGGCTGCAACGGCGGGGAAGGAATTGGATCCAGAGCTGGCCCGCACTGGAGCGAGAGTGCCATTCTGAGCGAAGGGAGCAAATCACCAGTCCTGAAACGTAGCGAACGCTGCGGCGCGAGCACCTTTATTGAAGATTCGAAGACGCCTCGACATGAAGAAGCAACGCCAACATATGTTCAACGCCTGAAGCTCATGCGTGCGATCGAGAAGCAATGCGCGGGATCGGCAGGGGGTCTGCAATTTCTGGGGAGTGAGGGGGTGGAGCAATTGTTGAGCACCTGCTTGGGAGGCAGGGAAAGGGGGGAGGTGGGGCGGGAAGGGACGGGAGGAGGGACCGATGGACGCAGGGAGAGCGCCCAGCAAGGGCGGCGCCTGGGCCGGGGGCCCACACCTTCCTTCCCCCCGGCACCTGGCAGGGGGCTCACCACCTTCATCGACGCGGACATCAAGACCGGCCCCTCCGACGAGGGCCTCGAGAGGTCCCACGGAGCAAGTCGTCCTCTTCCCTCCACGTCCAGACGGCGACACAACAATGCGACGGCAGGTTTCCCATTACTTTCGGCATCTCCAGGCCGTGTGCCAGACCCGTGACCCTGACAGAACTACAGTCGGCCCTGACTCGTGGGTCGACCTTGCCAGATCAAGGGTACCCTTGTGTCCTGTGCTTCGCGACCCATGCCATCTTACATTCCAATGGCAATGTGGCCCTCGGAAGGGTCTTGTGTCCTCTCGCGTGTCCTCGCCAATCAAGTCCGACTGTACCAGTCAGGGGGAGAATCCTCCCCCCCCTTGGGGAAAAGGTCGAGATCTCATGGTAGGCACGCCACGAACCAACTGCAAGGTGGGAAGCAAGGGCAGAAGGTCGAGGTCTTCGTGCGATTTTGACCCCCTCTGGGGCTTCTGGGAGCTTCCCTGGCCAGGAGTCTCCGAAGGCCTCCAGAGATCTTCAGGGGCTCCTCCCGATGTTTCTCTCCGTGGCAACCGCGGCGCTACCAGCCGGCAGGCCCTCGCCGCCCCCGCAAGTCCACCAAGCCCAGAAACCTCGCCCCTCTTCTTGCCTTTCTCAGGAGGTGGCGAGGCGTCCTGGCTTGCCCACAGGTGGGAGCCTATTGTGGTTCGCACGATCTTGGAACATTTCTGGCTGAGGCCGCCTGGATTTAATGCATCGGCTATCTGTTCCACAAGCATGGTTTTGGTTGTCAGAACTTTTGTCGCTCTACGAACATGTCGTGGCAGGCCCATGCGAATGCCGGGACGGTCGGGTCCTGCCCAACGCTCCTCGTCCTGGCTTTCGTGTCTCCTCTCCTCCTCCGCACTATCCCACTTTCCTCACCCCTCCTGCGAGCGGGTGGTATAATCATATGGCTCCGAGCGGGCCACCGCTGCTGAGGTCCTCACCGGGCGCTGGCCCCAGTCGCTCGTCCACCGTCCGTCTCTCGCTGCGGGTCGTGCCGTGCGGCTCCGCCGTTGCTGGTGACAAGCGAGTGCTCAGGTCAGGGGCCTTCGTCGCCCTGCCGGGCCGATAGGCCACGGCTGGTCCGGAAGGGGCCCTCTCTCCGATGGCTTCCGGGGTGCGTCTCCACTGCGGCGGAGGCTGGTCGAAGTGAGCCCGCAGCGCTACGGCGAGAGGCAGAGGTCGGACGGGGCTGGGAGGAGGATGGATCCGTTCCAGAGCGTTCCGGAGCGCTCCCAGAGCGTTCCGGAGCGCTCTGAGAGGGCCGCGGCGCCCGGGACATCCTCCGGAGCCGCCGGATCTGGGAGATCTCCCGATGTTGTCCTCGTCCATGCTTCGTCTTGTGAGGTGAAGCGGGTTTGGAGGCCCGCGAGAGCGCCAACGAAAGCCGGGCGCATTGAAAGGCAAGGAGACATCAGGGGCGTCCAACAGGGGGTGATGCTTACGTGGGGGTGATATATCAATGCAACGTGGCGTCACTTGCAGCTCCGCAAGGCCAGACATGTGGAACAACGCCTCGTATGTTTACTCGCAGCCTGGACCCGTCGTGGACGGCACGGTGCATCGGCCCAGGTTGCCATACGGGTACATCACTTGCAGGACGCAAAAGTCTCTGGCGGGATGTGCCCCATAAGTGAGGAGGGAGTCCCCTGGGAACCGAGTGTGGGCAGAGGTGCGCAAAACGTGGGCACCGCTCCTTAGCGATGCCAGGTGCATGGAGCGGGCGAAGAACGCGCAGAAGCAGTCGTAGAACGCGGCCTGCAGTGCGACTTGCACGCGAGAACGCGCATCTGGAGTAGTTCTGAGTGCGGCCTCTAGCATCCCTCGATGATACGGTGACGCACGGGCGAGTTCCAATCCGTGGCATCTTCTGTGCGCGTGAAAGGCGTCCCTTCTCTCCGGGCAGCCGCTGCGTCTTGCCTCATGATCGCTGCATCGCCCTGCCATGCCCAGAACACGTCCTCCCCGCGCGTGCCTCCGACACTCCCCGTTCATGATGTACGTGCTCCCTCCCTGCCCGAGGGGGGCTCCTTCCTCTGCTCAGCTCTGCTTCAGCCTCCCCTGCCCCCCGGCCGGGTGGAGCTGTGGCTGAGAAGGTCGAGGAGGGCGAGGATGAGGAAGGGGGAGGAGGAGGAGGCCGAGGAGGAGGAGGAGGAGGCCGAGATGGAGGAGGTGGAGGAGGAGGAGGAGGAGGATGATGATGATGAGGAGGAGGAGGAGAAGGAGGAAGAGGGTGAGGAGGTGACGGGGGCGTGGACGAGGGTGGCAAGAGGGCGAGGAGAGCGAAGAGGATGAGGAGGAGGGCGAGGAGGGCGGGGGGGGAGGGGGGCGAGAGCGAGGGGCAGGGCGAGGGCAGGGTGCTGCTGCCTGGGCGCCGGCGCCGGCAGCGCGGCTCCTCGGCTGGTGCTTCGGCCCGCCGAGGCGTGGGAGAAGGACGCCCGCGCAGGCCGTGCGTGGCCGTTGGTGCGCTTGGCGGCCCTCGACGGCCCGCGGCGCCCGTCGGTGGCCTGCTGGGAGTTCTGGCGGTGTCGTCGCCGTCGGTCGTCGGTCGTGGTCGTCGATATATATATATATATATATATATATATATATATATATGTGGCATCCCGCCTCTTGCCACGGAGAGCCAGGGCCTACTCGTGGTGGGTCGCGGGCGCCCCCCTCCCTGCTCTTCCTGTCAGGTAAAAGTCGGCATCGGCGCTGTCAGGTCAGATTCAGCATTGGCGCTGGTGCATCAGCATAGGAGCTGGTATATCCGCGGCCGAGCAACGTTCTATTCTCGCCTAGTCCCCTGAGTCCGTCCTGATCCCGCTTTGACCTATCTGGTTAACATGTCTATTGTTCCAGCCAAACAATTTCCCTCATCGGTTCTACCAGCGCTTACTCGTTCCCGCGAAGGCATCACAGGAGGTGCCTCCCGACCCGCCTCTCTCTCAGGAAACAGCGCGTGACAAGCGGCGACGAACAGCGCGTGCTGGCCTCTCTCCTCCAAGCGACGATCACTAGCGCCGCCGCGAGGAGTCCTTCGCCGTCCCGCTGGGCGGCCCGGACGAGGCGCCGCCGCGTGCCAGCGATGACGGCCCGCTCCCGCGGGCTCCCAGGGCTGCGCCGGGCGGCCTCGCGCAGGGGGGCGGCGGTGGCGGGGCTCGCGACGGGAGGGGCCGCGCGCTCTCGCTGGGCGGCCCGCTCTCGTGGAAGGGCCCCGCTGTGCGGAGAGCCTCGGGTGGGGGGGGCGGCCGGGGCAGGACGCGGCCCAGCGGTGGGCCTGCCGCGGCCGCGGGGACGGGCTCGGCCGGCCTGCCGTTTCGGCCCCATATCCGCGGCGCTGGGCTCGCGAGGGCCGTGCTGGGAGCTCTGGCACAGGCAAGACGGCAGGGCTGGGGGCGACAAGGTGGGCTGGCGCAGGCGAGCTTGCGTGTTGTGTGTGTGTGTGTTGTGTGTTGTGTGTTGTGTGTGTGTGTGTTGTGTGTGTGTATGTGTGTATGTGCGCGCGCGTTTCTCTGTGTGTGCGTGTGAGAGGTGATCCTTGGTAGCCCTCACTTTTCGCTCCTTAGCTCTTGTTAGCTCGCTGCTTGTGGATCGGTCGAGTGTCTCGTGGGCCGCTTGCGTGCGCTCCAAAAGTACGTGTGTGCGTGCGTGCGCGTGCGCGTGCGCGTGCGCGTGCGCGTGCGCGTTCGCGTGCGCGTGCGCGTGCGCGTGCGCGTGCGCGTGCCCGTGCGCGTGCGCGTGTGGGTGTGCGTGTGCGTGTGCGTGCGTGTGTGCGTTTGTGCGTGTATGTGTTTGTGTTTGTGTGTGTGTGTGTGAGCTGATCCTTGGTAGCCCTCACTTTTCGCTCTGTAGCTCTTGTTAGCTCGCTGCTTGTGGATCGGCCGAGTGTCTCGTTGGCCGCTTGCGTGCGCTCCAAAAGTACGTGTGTGCGTGCGTGCGCGTGCGCGTGCGCGTGCGCGTGCGGGTGCGCGTGCGCGTGCGCGTGCGCGTGCGCGTGCGCGCGTGCGTGTGTGTTTGTGTGTGTGTGTGTGTGCGCGTATGTGTGCGTATGTGTGTGTGTGCGTGTATGTGTGTGTGTGTGTGTGTGTGTGTGTGTGTGTGCTGCTCTCCTGCTTCCACGCACGGGCCGCGTCGCCCTCACAGCTGGGCTGCTGGCCGTGTTTGCCTACTCGTCGTGGCCCTTGGCGTGAGGTGCCGCTCTGGTGCCGCGTCGCGCCGGGAAGTGGGCTGCGTCAGCTCTCGGGCCCCCCACGCGCTCGAGCCGCTTCTCCCTCTACCGCTGGGCTGCTGGCCGCCTTTGTCTACGCTCCAGTGGCGCCTGAGCTAGTGCTGCACTGGCCGCTTTCGCTTCTCACCCTTATGTGGGCTGCGGTGGAGGAAGTCTCGTGCACATTTTTCTCCTGCATTCTGTTCCAGGTGTACCCGTAGGCTTCGGCACCTGCATGGCCTACCCCGCATTTTCCGCGTGCATCCGCGGTCTCGCGTTTTCCTACATGCGTCTGCTTTCATCCAGACCCCCCCATCGGCAACGTCAGGTGGTGATTGAGCTCAGCGCACCCGCCTCCGAACTCACCGCGGTGCTGTCACCCGGCCGCTGGCGACATCAGTGTGTGCTATGTTTGTGCAGTGTGGGGCCGGCAAAAACTTGATGGTACTTGGTCTAGGCGCTTCCTGCCCTAGACTCGCTGCGTTGTCTGCACAAACGGGATGGGCACGGAAAGAATGGGTACAATGCTCAGCAGCAGTTCCTGTTCATTTTGAACAGGACTCGCTGTCCGCGCCGCCGCGGCCTGTGTCCATTTGATACAGAAGGTCGCTTGCCCAACAGCGGCCGCTGTTGGTTTGGGACAACATTTGTTGTTGGGCATTGTACCCATTCTTTCCGTACCCATTTCGGGCGTCCAAACGTTGGACCAACCAGCCGCTGACAAAACATGCGTGTTGTGTGTGTGTGTGTGTGTGTGTTGTGTGTTGGCTGCGCTGCGTGGCTGCGCGCGCGGCTGCGACGCCAGCATATGTGCGTTGTGCTTGTGCTTTTGTGTGTGGCTTGCGTGATGGGACCTTACGGAAGACATGCGAAGTGAGACCATGGGGCCGCTCGTCAATGGCGGCTCGTCCGATGCTGCGCGGCTGCCTCCCAGGTCGGGATGGCCTGCACCATGGACCATGCCACCCGTCTCGCGAGGGTCACCCTGCAGCGTTCTCGAGGGCACCTGTGCCCTCCTGCAGAGGCCTGCTCCGGGCGCCGCCTCACGTGTGGAGGTGTCCGTTGCGCCTCTGGCCCTGGGAGGGCCCCGCCCTTGGAGGGCCCCGCCCTGGCCCGGGGAGACGGGCTAGCAGCCGTCCGCTCTGCTGTCGGCGGCGCGCCCAGGGGGGAAGGGGCGGAGGGGGGCGGGGAGCAGCAAGAAGGGGGGGCGGGCCTGCGCAGAAGGCTCCGAAGGCCTCCGGCCTTCTGAGAGGCTCTCGAAGCCTTCTCCGGAGCCCCGCAGCCTTCTGGGAAGGCCTGCGCCCTCTCCGACTGCCCTCCTCGGCGCGCCGCCGATTCCGGGCATGCCCAGAGCCTCCGAGGCGCGGGGCCGTCTGGGGATCCGATAGCATCGTGCTCTGCAGGGCGAGAGCGCGGAGGAGGAGGAGAAGGAGGAGGAGGAGGAGGAGGAGGAGGAGGAGGAGGAGGAGGAGGGGGAGGAGGAGGGGGAGGAGGAGGGGGAGAGCGAGGCCGGCGAGGAGCAGGAGGAGGAGCAGCGGGAGGCGGGGGGCCGCGCGCCGCCGCCGCCGTCGCTCCCCCGGCCTCGTCGCGGGGCAGCAGGCACGGTCGCAGAGGGGAAGACGGCCACCCAGAAGTTATAGAAAATAGAAGGGGGTTCTCTGATGCGTGTCCCCAGACGTGCGACGTCATGGTTGTTTCAGGGCGGCGTCCCCCGAAGTCCCGGCCCTTTCCCCAGGACCGGCTTTTCGTCCCGAGTCGTTCTTTGACGGCCCCGGGTCCCGGCGAGGGCCCCCCCAGGGCCGAAACGAGCGAAAAACTGGCCGCCCTGATTTTTTTTTTGTTACGACGCGACCATGTCTGGGTCGATTTGCTGGTGCCCCATGGGCCCCTTGGGAAGGCCTTGCCGTCTCGCTGGACACGGCGGCCGTCTGCAGCCGCGGCGGCCCATGCGGCGGGCGCCTCCCGCCCGCTGGCGGCCGCTCTCTGCGCCTCCCGGAAGCCCGCGCCCGCGCGAGGCCCCCGAGGCGGTCGCGTGCGGGGAGGACTTCGCGGCGGCGCTCACGTCCAAGCGGCCGCCGCCACAGCCGGTCGGCTGGGGCGATGGGCTCATTTCGATTCCTCCGATCCGATTCGATGTTCGGTTTCGAGGGCTTCCGCTTCCGACTCGGTTCGGCTCGGGATGCCGATGGGGGCTCCGAGTTCTCTTCGGAGGCACACTCTCCTGCCGATGTCCGCCGACTCGATGTTTCCCGACTTGGCTGCCGATTTCCGCCGATCCGATTCATGTCGATCGCCGAGCCGACGTGTCGATTCAATTTTGGGCTCTCTTGCTGGAGTCGTGGCTGAGTGGTGGTGAGGGCACTGGGGCGTTTCGGAATGGGCCTCGCCTCTGGCGCATCTTGCCCTGTCCGGAAGCCGGCGGAGATAGAACGGCGGCGTCTCCGCAGGCGGAAGTGGCGTCGGCCGCAGAGATGGGGAGTCGGCATTTTCGCATTCAGGGTTTTTGGAGTCGGCCACTTGCCGGCGGGCTCCTGGGCTCCAGTCTTCCCCACGGCACCCAGATGGGTGGAGAACCACCGGCGATGCAGGCGGTCCTGCTCCTCGCCCGTGGCGAGCACCTGCACAAGTGATGGGCAACGTGTTTAGGGGGGACCAGCTCGGGGGGGCGACACCGACCTGCAATCGGCGATCCCCCGATAGCACATCCGCACGTTCCTGGGGCGGGTCGTGCTTGCGGGCCCCGATCGGCGAGCAGCAGGCGAAGTACTCGGGGTCGCTGCATGCCCCCCCTGAGCTTGTCCCCCCTCGAAGTTGACCCTGGACCTGGAACTGTGGCGACATGTCCATTAATCCCCCAGGCGGGATCCGAAGCTCGATGTTCTCCATCCCGACGTCGCCGACGCCTGGCCGGTGCATCGGGGATGGCCTGAGACCGTTCGCCCTTCTCTGTCGTGGCCCTATGTCGGGATGCCTCCAGCAACGGGGGGGGCGCGGGGAAGCGCTGTCGGAGGCAATGTGTCAGGGCTCCAAATCCTCGGGGCTGGGGGCGGTCAGGGGTAGCTACAGATCTGCGCCTCGGAGGCCCAAACCGGAGTTACCTCGGACCGCAGTTACCCCAGATGATTCGGGCGTCCAACAATGGTCGAGATTTGTACGCACCCTTGTACCATGTAAGCTGGGCGTCACCCAATGACCTAAACAAGCCATGCCTCCGACGTCGTGCTGTTTTCGCGGCGTGGTCCGCCTGAGCACTAGCACCAGGCCATATCCCCGCTGCATCATTCAGTTCGCCTCAGATTGTGTTCTTGCCAGTTCCAGGTCCCGACGCAGGCGCCCAGACGCCAAGATCGGAGACAGAAGCAGCAACAATATCAAACACCTATCTATGTGTCTGATTGGTTCAGAACGTCGGTAGGTCGGGAACATCAGCAGTAGCTGCAGCAGCACCCGCCCCCCCCGGAAGTGGGGATCTCTGGCGGCCCCGAACCTGCGCCCTCGACCCTCCGGAACAGCCAGGGCTGCGGCCGCAGCAGCCTCGCGCGCGCGAGGTCATGAGTGCTCGACGTCGGCGGCGGCGTCGGGGCTGCTGCGGGGGCCCCGCGTCTGGCCGGGGTCGCGCCTTCCCCCCACAGCGCTGGGCACGGCAGGTCCGGTGTTATCGGAGCCTCCGACGGATTGACCCGCATCCATCCGTAACCCCCAGAAGGCTCGACCCTTTTCCGCCGCGACCGCTGGCAGAACCGCGCGGATGGGGGGTGAGGAGGAGGAGGAGCCGGGCGGTGGGGCTGAAGTTGGAGGATCATGCTGGATCGCACAGTACGCTCGCCAGACGGGTGAAACAGAGCGTCGGAGGAGGACGCTCGGGGACGCTGGAGTCGCGGCAATTTCCTGCGGTCCACTTCCTGCGCGCTCTGGAGTCGCAACAATTCCACCCCTATTGTTGCGACCCCACGAGGTGTCAGTCCTAGAGAAGCAAGCCCGTGCCGTAAACATCTCAAGCGTTCTCTCTGGTAATTCGAAGATGGACCGCGCTCTCACCCATCTCGTGCACCCCGAGGCAGACGACGGCGTAGACGACGACAGCGACGATGGAGCGAGGAAAAGAAGCAGAAGTGAGGAGAAGCGTGGAGGAGAGGTAAGGAGACGTGTCGAGGATGCGGACATTCGACAATGTGATGTTTCTAGATGTGTGGCCCCAGCGGTCCCGATCCTTGCAAGGGTCCCAGGGGACAGTTTTTCATCCTGGATCCATTTTTGATGGTCCCGGGCCCCTATGGTTTGGCCCCGACAGGCCGCACACACACACACAGAAAACGCCGGCAGCAACAATCACGGGAGATCTGGGAGGAACTTCGAACGAGGCAGTGCGGGGTGAGCGAGGGTGGGGCGGTCGTCTCTGTTTCTCCTCGCCAGAAGGATTCGGGCCTGGGGGTCGCGCGCGTAGCATGGCGCGCGGTGCCCAGACTAACGCCAGCGTCGTCGCGGCACGGAGCTGCCGTGGCCTGGGCCGCTCGCCGGAGGGCGCGAAGAGAGCCGCTCCATGGCGAGGCCTCCCCAGGCCCGAGCGTCGTCAGAGCAGGGCTCGGGACCAAGCTTAAGTCGGGCCTGTCCACCTACAGGGGGATTTTCGACGAAAAATAAAAAGGACCCCCAAAATAGTCCAAAAATGGTTTGTTTTTTTGCATATTTTTTGGCCATTTGGGGGCAGTTCTGGGGTACTTGTTATTTTTTTGTTGAAAATCCCCCTGTAGGGGGACAGGCCCGACCTAAGGCCAGGACCGGTTTCCCTCGGGGCCCGCGGCCCTCGTGCCAAGACGGCGCTGAGGCCGCGCTGCTGGCGGCGCGGGCAGCGCACCCAGGCATCCCGCGGACCGAGTTGGCCAGCCCCTGCTTTCCCCCTCCGCTGCGGCGGCCCACCGGGGGGGCCTTGCCGGGGCTCCGGGGCCGTCACACATGGATCATGGACGAAAGGCCCACGCCAGGGAAGCGGTCCAGACCCGCGGGGCCGCGGATCGAACCCATCACATCGCCGACGTCTGGGGAGCCACGGACGCCCGCGCAGGGGTGCGCGCAGGTGGCCTGTCGTCTGCCCCCCTCCTCCACCGGCCGCGCACCGCCGAGGCTGCTCCGCGTCTACTCGGCCAACGGCCTGCCCATGGGCCTTGCCTCCGTGCCGGGGCGGGCGGTGGGTCTGGCAGCACGCGGCCAGGAGTGCGCGCTTTGGTGTTCTCCCTGACAGCCCCTCGTTTCCGTCGGCCGTCGTCGTTCGTTCGCCCCCCCCCCCCCCATGGTCCGCCCCCATGCGCCTCCTCTCCCCATGATGGCCCCAGGAATGCCCAAGAGGCTTCCCATCTCCTCACCCTGCCCTCCCCCTGTCCCTCGCCGCTCCCGTGTGCAAGAGGCAGGGCACGCTTGCTGTGATGATCCCTATGGTCGTCCAGCGGATGCTGCTCCTCTGAGGCGGCCTTTCCAGTCCGCGGGGCTCTGTTCGCTGTCTCTGTTTCTGGGGGCCATCCTCGAAGGATTGCAAAAAAACCAAGGATTGCAAAAAGGATTGCAACAAAAACCCTTCGTTTTGCGAAGGATTGCAAAAACACTTTCGTTTTTTTGCAATCCTTGGTTTTTTCCAATCATTCCTTCTTTTTTGCAATCCTTCGTTTTTTTGCTATCCTTCGTTTTTTTGCAATCCTTCGCCCCAGGGCAATCACCACACGGATCACGACGGAGGACTCGGCGCCCTGCCCGTCGGCATCCGACGCCCCCTCCCGCGCCAGGGCTGGCCCTGCCCGCCTTGGAGAGTCCGGCGGGGCAGTCTCTGTGCTCACGGCCTCTGGGCGCGCCGTGGGCGCAGAGCAGCCGCGTGGATGGGGGCGACGAGGAAGAAAGGGAAGGTACGGTGGCGGGGGAGGGGGGGGGGAGAGGGAAGGAAGGTGGCAGAGGGGCACGGGAGAGTGTGAGAGGCGGAGAAGACGTCGGGAGGAGGAGGAGCAGGAGGAGGAGGAGCAGGAGCAGGAGCAGGAGCAGAGTAGGAACAAGATGCATCAAACGGTGCTTCAATGCACCCTCCCGTCCCAAGTCCCCTATTCGGAAGGCTATACAAGTCTTCCTTTCCACTGCGGGCGCCCCCCTTGGATGACGAACGGCTGGTCGGTCCGGCAGTCAGACGAGGGCGCCTATTGTAAAGGATCCTCCCTCCAATTAAAGGACGCTCAGGGTAGCCCCATTCTGAGAAGCACATGCCCTCCACATGCCCTCCCTATCAAAGCTGTGAACGGATGGCGAGAGCCCTTCAAGGCGGCCCAGGGGGATGTTCATTTTGAGAAGGACGCGCCCTCTATCCATCTAAGCCTTGCCAGATGTCACAATCGTGAACGTATCGACTTATCTTGCATTTGCTATATATTTAGCGTGGTTGCTTTATCTCTTGTGCCCAGAGGCTCTTCGGGGCCAGTTGGGGTCGACGTTAAAGATCAAGAGCTGCGCCGCCCAGAACACTTTTTGTTTGTTTACAATCGGATGGTGAGGGTTGGGTCGGATGGATGTGAACTGCAGTGTTTGTTTTTACATCAGCTGGTGACTGTTGGGTCGGATGGGTGTGCATCGAATGCTTGGTTTACATTGGGTGGTGACGGTCGTGTCATTTGGATGTACACAGAAATTACATTGGTTGCATAGGATGGTTTGGATTGGGTCGTCTGGATGTGCTCCGATGTGCATAATATGGTTGGGTTGTGTCGCACGGACGGAAAATCTATCGGTCTGTTGCGTAGGATGGTGACGGTTGGGCCGGATGGATGCGCACAGGATAGTACGTGGTGCATACAATGGGGAGGGTTGGGTCGTGCGGATGGGCGCGGCGATCGGCGCGAACCAGATGTGTAGAAAGGAGCTGGCCTCCATCCTGGAAGCGGCTGCAATTGTTCAAGACGACTGTGCGCAGCGTTGGGGGGCGAAAACCACATGCTTGAAACGTACCGGCCTCCCCTCTATCCGTGGAGTTGCCGCAGTGGACAAGACACGGGTGTGCGCGGCGCTGCGGCGAGGGCCACAGTTTGAAGACCACGTCCGCTCTGTCCTCGAAGTCGCTGCAGCTTCAAGCCGGCGGGCCGCAGCTGGCGAGGAAGCCTCGGGCGAAACGCCCGGCCCGGCCTGCGGGCACGTCAGGTGGTGCGACCAGGAGAAGGGTGACGGAGACGGAGGAAGAGGAGGATGGGAGGGGTTGGCCAGGGGCAGTGTGGGCCGCAAGGTGATACGCCCCCCCTCCCCGCCATTCCCCTCCTCCCCCTCCCTTCCCCTGCGTCTTTCCCCTCCCTTCCGCTTCTTCGCGTCCGTTTCCCCTCCCTCCCCTCACTCCGCCTCCTCCTTCCCTCCTCGAGGCCCACAGCCTCCGAGCGAGCCTGCCCTTGAATAGCCACTCCCAGACAGATTCTCTTAACGCAGAGTCCGCCGCTGCCGCCTCGTACTCTTTTCATCCTCCCCTCTTCACTGCTGCGGGAATCGGCCGCCAGCGGCCAAGAGCGTCGAAAGATCGGCGACCACGATTCCAAGCATTGGGAGGAGGAAGAGGAGGAGGAGGGGGAGGAGGAGGAAGAAGAGGAGGAGAACGAGGAGGAGGACTCGGTCGTTACAGGTGGCCCGAGAGCTTACCTGCGCCGCCCGCGGGCGCCAGGACGATAGCATGGAAGGGACATCATCGCTGATATCCTCAAGCGTCTCGAACCGGCCCCTTTCACTCTGCAAGGGCCAAGCCGCGCGTCGATCATTTTTGTTGCCTTGCGTCGTCCACCACAGCGGGCGCACAGCGGAGCAGCGCCCGGCCGCAGCGCCTCCGCGGCCCCCCTGGCAGGCGAGGGGCGCGGGGGCCTCTGCTGTCAAACGAGCGGCCTGCAGCTGCTGCTGGTGGTCACGAGGCTCCCGCCGGGCACCCTCCCGGCTCTCTCTTCGCCCTTCGCCTGCCGCGGGGCGCCCCCCGCCAGCTGGGAGCGAGGCCACGTCCACGCGTCGCGCACACTTTTGCCATGTCCCCGGGGGATACGGAGCGGCGTGGCGTGGAGGCCACGGGCGGAAAAAGCAGTCCAGTGGATCGCGTATCCAATCGGTTTGCGTCTCGATCTGAGTGTGGATCTGCTGGTGGCTCGTGGTCCTCCTCCTCCTCCTCCTCCTCCTCCTCCCCGGCGGCCCCTCGCGCTGCATAGGCACGGCGGAGTACTTTGACTGTTCTCGGCCGATGAAGGCCTTCACTGGTCCCGGCCTTGACCACTCATAAGGGAGAGACCACTCTCATTACGGGCCCACGCTTCGAGCAAGTCACAGCTGGGGGGTCTAGCTCGTCCCCTTCCCCACCCCAGACATCCGTCGCCCCGAAGAAATCAAAGACGCAGGTGCTCCTCACGTGCGGCCGCCTGAGGCCGTTTTCGGGCCCGCGAGCGTCAACAACAAATGCCCGGGATGTGAAAGCTGCCTTTGGGAAAAGATCCGGAATTCTGGAAGACACATGCGGAGACAAACGACGACATCGGAAGGTTGGTTCCTCATTCGTCCTTTCTGGGTTGATTGATGCAATCAATCCGCCCGAACGTTGATGACAGGAGAAATTTCAGCAAAATCGGATGGGATTCAAGACATGTTCCAGTCCGAGCGCTTTGCTATGGAACATTCCGCCCAAGAGCAGACATGATCCAGAACGGAAATTGGATATCGAGCGGTCCGGGGACATTGAACGGAGAAATCAAATCTTTGGAGGTTCGTGCCCTCATCATTCCTTTCCTCCAGTGCACGATTGTTGGGCTTCTCCGCACCCCCTGCCTCTGCTTCTTCAGCTGCTGCTCCTGCTCATCCTTCTCGTGTGCGTGCGTGTGCACATTTTGGACCTCTCCTTCTCTGAATGTATCTAACTCTCTCAGTGTGTTTGCTTTTCGCAGAGGGGCCTGGGTAGTGATTCAAGTATGAAAAACCTTGGTCAACTGAAAGTGTTATGTTTCTGTCGGCGCGGACGGGAAAACTGAACGATTGAAATATTGAAGCGTACGTAGCACCCCGCAATTGCGGATAAGAGTGAGGGGGCGGGCGCGGGCGACGCGGGCGTCGTCGAGCCAGCGGACCTCGTGGCCCCCACCTTCCCTGTCGATGGCGATCTTCTCCTCCTCCTCCTCCTCCTCCTCCTCCTCCTCCTCCTCCTCCTCTTCCTCGTCCTCGTCCTCATCGTCATCGTCCTCCTCCTCCTCCCTCCTCCTCCTCCTGTTCTTCCTCGTCCTCCCTCTCCCCCCCTCGTCCTTTCATCATCGTCCTTCCATCGTCGTCCTCCCCCTCATCGGCCTACATCATCGTCCTCCCATTGTCGTCCATCATCATCATCATCCTCCCCCTCCTCCCCCTCCTCGTCCTCCTCCTCCCCCCTCCTCCCCCTCCTCGTCCTCCTGCTCCTCTCCTTTTCTCTCTCCACATTATCCTTACATCCTCTCTTCTTCCGCGTTCTCCTCGTCCCCTGTTTACTCCTCCTGCCTCCCCCTCCTTTCCCAAGATAACTGCAACGCAGTCCTTTTTTCCACTTTATGCTTCCCGCCTTCTCTGATCAAGGCAACTCGCCAGGGCAAAGTTACTGGACGGGCTGGTGTGGATGCGCGGGGCTTGAAGAGGTCCTTGCGGGCTCAGACGGCATGCGAAAATCCGCCGCCGCGCTTGTGCGGCATTGGTTTGTTCAGTGAACGTGGTTTAGGTCGCGGGTGGGTCGCGGGCTCTCCACCTCCACCTGGAAGGAATGCAAAAGCAACCCGCCGCAGGCGCCAACAAAAATTGGTTTGTACACTGAACGTGGTTTGGGTCGCGGGTGGGCCGCGGGTTCTCCACCGGGAACGAATGCAAAAGATGCCCGCCGCAGGCGCCGAAAAATGTAGTTTGTACCCTGAACGTGGTCGCGGATGGGCCGCGGGCTCTCCACCTGAAACGAATGCAAAAGATGCCCGCCGCAGGCGCCGAAAAATGTGGTTTGTACCCTGAACGTGGTTTGGATCGCGGGTTGGTCGCGAGTTGGTCACGGGGTGGGTCGCGGGCTCTCCACTTGGAAGGAATGCAAAACAAGCCCGCCGCAGGCGCCGAAAATGCTGGTTTGTACCTTCAACGTGGTTTGGGTCGGAGGTGGGTCGCGGGTGGGTCGCGGGGTGGGTCGCGGGTGGGTCGCGGGTGGGTCGCGGGTGGGTCGCGGGTGGGTCGCGGGGTGGGTCGCGGGGTGGGTCAC